GCTACTATGTCACAGTAGATTAGGAGATGATCTGACCTTAATGTACAGAATACCAGGAAATGGTTTTGAACTTGGCTCATGTTTTCGTCTTACACCTTCCCACTGAGTTAGTCCTAAAATCGGGAACATATAAAATGTCTTTGTATCAGTTTGAGAGACGAATGTTTTAGAATTTGTGACATGGCTGATTGACATTCATGGTGCTCTTCGAAAAGATCTTTTCTACGCCATTTGATTTTTTTGCCTTATTTGCCATGGTCTGTAAATTAAAGATTCTAATAGTGTTGCGAAATTCCTTCTAGGCTGTTTTACATTACATTACAGTAGTCAAATCCAAAGACTGAAGGGATTGTGTTTCCGCCTCAGATTATCAGCGCATATCAAAGCCTGTTAGAAAAGAACTAACATAGGCACTCAGGTTACTGTAATCAATGGACTAATCATAGCCAAAAGATAAAGTCCTCGGTCAGTAGAAGTGTTGTCAGTCATATAGCTGGATGAATTTACTAAGAAACCGAACCATCAAAAATACATTAATTAACATAAATTAACATTAATTAATCAATTTAATTTCCTTTACACCGAGTATGGAACCGTACCGAAAGAACAAGAATCGAGCGCGAAGAAATCAAATTGGTTTACACTAGCTCGTGAAAAAGATATTGGATATATTGAAGGTTGTGGAGTGTGAAATATGCGGAAATTATACAGTTTGCGGTACATGTCCTGAGCTAATGTTACTTTGTCTGCTTGGTTGTTATTCATAACAATGGTAGTTTCAAGTTCAAAAAAGAACCTCGAGGGTTGTAAATTACCTGTAAAATTACCAGACTCCGACTTTTTCCGTAACATATCTTTACGTATAAATAACAATAATAGACACCGCTGAGATTTTGGGTACTCGTGATGTTGGTGATTGTACATACTATTATGTTCACTACGATGACTGTAAGCCTCTAATATTTTGTCATTTTTCTTTTCAAGATAATAAAAGGTTGGATGAATGGGTTAGTGCAGACCGACTGGACTTTTCTAAAATAGAAAGACCATTAAAGAGATCTACTAAGGAACCTGTTACTCCTGCTTTCAGCGTTTCCTCCACGGAGGACGAAGTTATTAGTTCAACAGAGCTCCGAAATTCAGAATCAGATTTGGTTTGTTCCCTATTCAAAATGTGAGACTTTTTTTTAGAACCCTCCTCTCAAAAATCGCTGCTCCAGCTCCTCTAGTTTGACCCAACTAAAAAGAAAACGACCCCCTGATGATGTCTATGAAGGACCTATACACTTGACACTTCAGAATGATTTGAATGATCTTGTGTTTGATGACTCTCCAACTTCAACTGGTAAACCTAGACAAACGGGCAGTATGGTTTCTAGCCACCATGAACAAGATACTGTTACAAGAATGCGAAATTTAGAATGGATTGAATTAGGAAGATATCGAATTAAACCATGGTACTTTTCTCCATATCCACAAGAATTAGCAAGTGTTCCATGTGTATATATATGCGAATTCTGTTTGAAGTATTTGAAGAGTTTCACTTGTCTCCGCAGACATCTGGTTTGAATTGTTATCATTTTTAATTAATTTTTAGGCTAAATGCACATTGCGTAATCCTCCTGGGAATGAGGTTTACCGTAAATTACCCCATAGCTTTTTCGAAATTGATGGACGTAAAAATAAAGTAAGCTCACTCAGTTGAAATAATTACTTTCAGACTTACGCACAACACCTTTGTTTGCTTGCAAAACTGTTCTTGGATCATAAAACTTTATATTACGACACAGATCCATTTTTATTTTATGTTCTTTGTGAAATAGACTCTCGTGGTTATCATCTAGTTGGATATTTCTCAAAAGAAAAAGAATCTTCGGAAGATTACAATGTTGCATGTATCTTAGTACTTCCACCTTTTCAACGAAAAGGTTATGGAAAATATTTAATTGAATTTAGTAAGTTGCACAAACATTTTGTCCTTTTTTTAATTGTTATACTTTTTTCTTAAAAACCTGGAAAACTTGAGGAAATTATATGAAGGAACTATCTTTCATGAAATCATTAACCACACAGATCATCAGATGTTTCTATATTTTTAATTAGTCATTAGTTGGAAAGCTTTTTATTTTCTCATGCCAAACTGGTAAGAAATATAGTTATGTTGTATTAATACCGGGCCATTAAGAAGTTTGTCTGTAAATGTAAGGTGTCAGTCAACCTGAATTACAAGCTGATGTCAGTCCTCTAACTCTTAATAAGGTTATAAACGCTATGAGCAATCTCAAGCAAAGGGGAGCAGCTGATTTCCGGTAGATCAACCCCTGGGATTTTTGAAAATAATGGTCCAGCTTTAGCAGTTAGATTGACTGAGATGTTAGGTACTATCTGGGAACTGAGCGTAATTCCACCTGGCTGATCTCAATCACCGATTTTTCCGGTCTATAGGAAAGGAAAATAGTTCTCTTGTGACAGCCATAGAAAAATTGGTTTGACTAATATAGTGTCTAAGATATTAGTTTCAATAATACTTCTACTCCCAACCAGAGATCGTAAAGAACAAACTCGAGAAAACCAGCCTGGATTCAGACCTCGACGTGTATATATAAACTACATATCCACACACTTCGTCAGGTCTTAGAACACGGACACACATTCAGACATCCGACAATTGTTGTATTCCTCAACCTGAAGGCAACGTTTAGCTGTATGGATCATGAAGTTGTGGCAGTGTCTGCCTGTAAGGAGTACGCTAGCCTTATACTGGTTCTCTAATCAAACACTACTTGTCAAGTGACAGCTTATGAAAAACTATTTATAGGAATTGATTACTTCGAACGGTTTTCGTCAAGGTTATTTACTTTCTCGATTCCCGTTCAGCTTTGTCATTGACGTGCTTTTAAAGACGATACTTTCATCGTCTGACTTTTCAGTTGGTTTTCTACCACGAGGCTCACTTGTTGACTTAGAATATGCAGATGACGTAGTTCTATTTGGTGAGGACGCTGATAAAAGGCAGAGTCCTCTGTCCAGGATTGGTTTGCATCGGCACCTTAACTAGTGATAGGGAATGAAGTAGTTGACCGTGTTAACCGCGTCACTTATCTTGAAAGTCTCATCGGTGCTGATGACTTGGTGTCTGGCGAACTCTCAGCGCGGATACAAACGGCTCGGTCGACTTCTGCCAACTTGCATCACTTATAGCGTCGGTGATATATCCGTCTTCTAATTAAAGGACGAGTCTGCTGCGCAGAAGTTCGTCCCGTCCTTCTTTACGACCGTGAAATATGGCCACCAAAATAGATGGTATTCGTTGGTTACTAGTATTTGATCACCGGTGTTTTCAGAGGATTGCTCGTATACCATGGGACAATCGAGCAAGGATGTTTTTTGTTAAGAAACTATGTATGGATCGCAAACCGATTGATGAAGTAGTGAATCTTTATCAATTGGGTGGTCTAGTTAGTGTTATCTTACGAAATCAAAATAATTTATTTTTGATTTGATTATCATGGCGATTTCAGTCAGTTAGGTACAACAAAGAACTTCGCACGTACCTACGTACGTACATCATTTCAAGTCGCCATAACACATCACAGACAGATTGAATTGTCAATTCAAATCCCATAGTCCTGGAGGTTGTATAGAAGTATTAGCGCTAATGCAGGAGATTAGGGTTCGAGGAAGTTATTCGATAAGTTTAACCCAGTGGGGTGAGTTTAAAAAAGAGAAAGATATAAGTCAAGAAAAATTCAGAAGATTCACATTTGAAAGAAGACATAGAATCGATGCATCTGCGTCATTGCAAACGATTTCGAGCAATGTCGTTAAAGATCGCTAACTGTCGGTTACGTTTGTCTCGCCGACCCCAACTAGGCAGTCTAAAGCCTTGCTAACATGACTCTCAGTCCACTCACTTGTCAGTGACTTCATGGATTTGTGCTATGTTTTGATTTGACCGCCCCCAGCTTTCTCCCAACCTACGCCTACATCACAAAACATCACTCATCGTGGCAGTCAGTGGTTGAACATATGTTATATATGTCGCTCTTATGAGTAAACAGTTTTTTTCTCTTCGGTGTCAGTTAAAAGTTCTAATTAAGGTTGTGTTAGGATATTCATCCAATATCCTAAGAGAATTATTGGTCAATTCCTATTGGTTAATTCCTACTGGTCAATTTTATGGTCGTCCTAGGTGTCAATTTTATGTACTCCAATCTTGTTTCTTATTGGTTGTCCTGACTATCAATGTCACATACTTCAAATGTTACTTCCTATTGGTCGTCTTAACTGTCAATGTCACAGACTTCGATGCTGTTTCCTATTCGACCAAAATGTATAAATACGCATTATCTGCAACGTTTTATGACCAGGACCCGGTCTGGATCCCTAGTCCAGGATCCTGATCCTCTTCTGGATCCGGATCTCGTACTTTCTGGATGCTTGTAGAATACAGGTTCTACTTCATATCATGTCTTCTTATTTTTGTACTCAATATGGGAGTTGGGATAATCGGAATGAGTAGCATTCTGTGTCGCCAAATCCTCGATCCTCGCTCTCATTTTCCGACTAAGGTAAACTCGTGATGATTCAAACATATCACAAAATGACGTGTTTACGTGTAGGCGTAACAGGTTGCTAACAATTTGTTTTTTTTATTAAAAAACAGAGTACATTGATCGAATTTTTGTGTATGTTGATATTTTCTTGCGTTTTCTTTTTTTAAAAAACTTTTTTCAGGTTATGAATTAAGCAAAATTGAAGGTAAATCTGGTTCACCTGAAAAACCATTAAGTGATTTGGGCTTATTATCTTATCGTTCTTATTGGGCTCAAACAATTTTGGAATTATTATTAAATTGTAAATCAACTGAAACTGGTCAAGATCCAGCTTTAAGTATCAAGTAATGTCAATTCAATGTGCACATTTTTTTAAAAAAATTTATTTATTTATACGTGTAGTTAATCTGTTTTCTATTGAGCATACATAATTTGATGCTTCTGCAGTAACAGCAAGTCTCAATATACAAGGAAAGGAAAAAGTAAGAGATTCTACGATACAACATAACATGCGCCAACTAAAGTACTCTTTGTGGAGATGCCTTGAAGGCAGTAAAAAGCCTTACCTATCTGAGCAGCATCATTGACAATCAAGGTGGATCCAATGCAGATGTAAAGGCGTAGATCGGCAAAGCAAGAGTTGCATTTCTACAATTAAAGTACAGCTGGAACAATTGTCAACAAACGCCAGAGTCAGAATTTTCAATACAAATGTCAAGACTGTATGACGCGGAACCCACAAAGGCCAACATCCACACGATACAAATATTTATTAACAGTTGTCTGTGTAAGATACTGAGGATTCTTTGACCAGACATTATCAGTAACAACCTGCTTTGGGAGAGAACAAACCAGATCCCAGCGGAGGAAAAAATCAAGAAAAATAGCTGAAGGTGGATAGGATACACTGCGGAAAGCACCGAACTACATCACAAGATAAGCCCTCAAGTGGAACCCTCAAGGTAAAGTGAAAAGTGGAAGGTCAAGAAACACATTACGTCGAGAAATGTAGACAGACATGAGAAGAATAAACAAACATTAGACAGAACTGGAAAGAGATGTACTGTACAGAGTAGGTTGGAGAATACTCGTCGGTGGCCTATGCTCCGTTTGGGAGGTGACAGGCTAAAGTAAGTAAGTAACAACTTGATGCTGTAAACTATAGTTTGTTCATAGTTTCTGTTTCTTTTTTCCAGAAAATCTTTCATATTTTCCGTGATATTTCCACTAAATAAATTCTCTTATTGACGTTTGCGAATTTTATGTTTTATGTTGCCCTGTTTGGGATTATCTAAACTTTCTTCCAATTACTAATAGGATTGATTTCCAGTAACTGGACACTGATAACATTAAAACTAACTTTATCTTCAAACTGAAAATACTCAATGCAATTTTTGGGTGTTAGAGTGATTTTGATTTCGATAGATCGGTAGCATATAAAAATTTACAGTCAATTTTTAAAACAAACATATACGCTTACTGCACAGCAGTTCATTCTGTCCTATTTTACGAGTGTGAAACATGGCCGCTAAGAAAAGATGTTATTCGTAGGTTACTAATATTTGATCACTGGTGTGTCTTCGGAGGATCGCTCGTATATTCTAGGACAATTGAGTAAGCTTGCTGGTGTTAGGAAACAGGTACTTGGTGAGGATCGTAAACCAATTGATGAACTATTGAATAGTCGTCAAATGAGGTGATTGGAACATGTGCTACGAATACCCAACCACCGACTGCCTGGGCGAGCAATATATTGTGATGTAAGGTTAGTCTGGAAGAAAGCTAGGGACGGCCGAACCAAAACACTGCACAAATCCGTTCAGTCAGCCGATCAGTTACAACGTAGAACTTTGTATATGCGTAAGTCATTTCAAGTTGTCCTACCACACTAACGCAGAGACGTAACTGGTAATTCAAATCCCATAGTAGTAGAGGTAGTAGAAGTATTAGTAGTAATCGGAGAGATTAGGGTTCGAAGAAATTATTCAAGAAGCATAATTCAGTGTGATAAATCTACAAAGAGAAAGATATAGGTAATGAAGAATTCAGAAGATTCGGATTTAAGAGAAGTAAAGAATGGATGCCTCTGCGCTATTTCAAACAGCCTTCAGTTATTTCACTGAAAATCTTTAACTACCGGTTACGATTGTCTCTCTGACCCTAACTAGGTAGTCTACACCTACGAACATGACTCAATCCGCTTGTAAGTGACCTCATACATCCGTGCTATGATTCGGTCTGGACGCCCCTAGCATTCTTCTAACCTATCCCTACACCACAACACATTGCTCGTCGAGACAGTCCGTGGTTGGACATTGATAACACATGTCCCAACCAACTCATCTGATGCAGTTTCACTATTTCATCTATTGATCTACTATCCTTACCTAGTACCCGTTTCTTAACAACGGTATTGCTTACTAGGTGGTCTCAAGATATATAAGCAATGTTACAAAGACATCTATGGTTGAAACCAATAACCTACGAATTTCTTCTACTCCGACTAGCCATGTTTCATATCTGTAAAGGAGGATGGAGCGAACTACTGTGCAGTAGACTCGCCTTTGATTAGTAGACGGATATTTCGCCTACGCCATGATTGACGCAAGTTGACAAAAGCCAGTTGAGCCTTCTGTATCCCTGCTCAGATTTCGTCAGTTACCAGACCATCAGCACGGGTGCTGAAGTCACTGACAGCTGAACTGAGCCATGTAAATAGGTGTAGACTACCTGTTAGGGGTCCGCAAGGTAGTGGTAAGTGGTAGCCGGAAAATGTGAATTTCATGGCTGAAAATCGTTTTCAGTGGCACAGGTGCATCCATTCTCTGTCTTCTGTCAAATTCTAATCTTCTGAATTCCTCACAACCGTTTTTACCCCATCTAAACTCATTTTCACTGGGTCCCCAATTTTCTCGAATACTGCTAATACTTCTAATACCTCTACTACTGTGCGATTTGAACTGACAGCTCAATCTCTGTGTGTGCTTATAAACTGATGTACTTACATCTATGATCGAATACTAGTAACTTACGAACATCTACTCTCTTAACACAAGAGCATGACCGCAGAGCCAAAGGGACAACTGTTTCAGGCCGTTCACACATGGCTTTTTTATCAGAAGTTTTTGAAGTGTTAGCTCCGCTCTTGTTTAAAAGCCCATAACACCGGAGACAGAAATCCGTAAGGTAAGGTGAGATATGACACTTTTAAGGTCGACCTTTTCTAACCCCTTCCTTCTTTGTGAGAAGGTAGCATCGCTGTAGATGCCTATTGTCCGAGGGAAACACTTTACTGATGTCATACCTCTCTACAGTCCTCAGTATGCGACTCCGCCGTCAGACCTTGAGTAGCTGTTTTTAGTCTCATTGTTCTCAAATCGACCTGCCTATATATCTTTCAGCCTATATAGCTCGGTTGTGTGATCATGATAGGCAAGTCCGACCACCATGTTAAGGTAACATCAATGGTCAGGCCAAGTCATTTACTCCGAAGAATAAACAGTTATATTTATTAAAATAAACGATATTCAGTACTTATTAATCTAAATTGAAAGATACTCAGATTGTGTTTATCTTATTTGTTGATTATTTTAACGCGTTTTCGCTTTTTCAACTTTATAATTTCTTACATTTTAACCTTTAATAATTTATCACGTTTTTGTCTCGTGTATCGAAAAAAAATTCTTCAAAGGTAATGGTCTATTTCGAACTTTTGACACCGTCATTATTGCATTTCTAAACTATTCACTGATTGACGTCTATTTTCTGCACGTAATCTTGTGAACGTATCTACTTTCATTGATTGATTGTAACTTTTCACGTATTGGATTATTGAGAGAAATTTAAGAAGTACCATAATTATGCGAGTGTTGGAGCAATCAATACAATCGTACAACTTACTTACTTACTTACTGACACCTGTTATCCTCAATGGAGCATAGGCTGCCGACCAGTGTTCTCCAACCTACTCTGTTCTGGACCTACCTTTCCAGTTCTGTCCAATTTTGGATCATTCTTCTCATGTCTGTCTAAATTTCTCGACGTAATCTTTTCCTTTGATCCGGAGGATTCCGTGTAAGGGCTTGTCTTGTAACGCAGTTGGGTGCTTTCCTCAATGTGTGTCCTATCTATGTACAATTGTACAAGCCAGTGACTAATTGGAATGGCGTTTAAAGTGAACAGGTTGCAGGTACATCCAACTGATGAGTGCAAAATAGGACGAAACATGTGTCCACTGGATTCCACTGCTAGCCACTATCCATTTATTGCTACTAATGCTTGTGACTGCAATATCAAGGCCAATCTGTACAGGATATACACATATGCCAAAGTGACTGATTTATTACACATTGAAACCATGAATGAATCATTGTTAGACCGCCGTTACACACTTGGAAGCATCGGACGGTCGTTTCATTTCATAGTATGGGACTCGTCAGTGGTAGTGCGCACCCACGACTCATGCTATTCGTAGGAGATGAACCTAGGACCTTCGATCTTGCGCTCGAACGCCCACCCTCCGGACCAGCTGTGTAAGAGTAAGTTGGTTAAAAGTTTGGAGAAACCAAACTATGACGTACCACCAGTTCGCGAAGTCATTGATAGTTGAACTGAGGCATGTGAACAGGTTTAGACAACCTATCTGTTTGAGGTCCTCGTAATTATCCTAACAACAAATGGTTAGAGAATTTAAATGACGTAACTCTAAATTCTTTGCAATAGTGAAGATGCATTTAATCCTTGTTTTAATTTAAAGCATGAGTCCAGAAATCTCCTTGTACCATGATTCTTTTTTTTTTCCATACCACGAATACTGTGAATAATTTTATTGTACACTGAGTTTTTGTCTCTATATATTAGTATGGGTATGGGTAATTTGAACCACTTACTCGTTTACGCCCGTCAACATCAATGAAGCCATAGGCTGCGAACCAGCATTCTCCAACCTACTCTATCCTGGGCCTTCCTTCCTAGTTCTGTCCAATTAATGTTCATTCTTCTCATGTCTGTCTCCATTTCTTGGCCTGCCTGTCTTATGTTGGTAATGAGGATTCCAAGAGAGGGCTGGTCTTGTGACGCAGTTAGGTGCTTTCCTCAATGTGCATGTCGTATCTACCTCGAGCGCCTCTTCTTCCGCTAACCAGAAAAAATAATTCAAACCATTTTTTCATTTGAACCAATGCACATAATATTCCAAATCGTTCTATAATTATATATGACTAATTGACCGATTACAATGGTAAGCAGTTGATAAGGCGCGACGTAATGCAAATGAAGTCATATTGCTGTTGTGGTCTTATTGAGTTAATAATTAAATTCTTAAAAAGAGTACCAACTCTATGAAATTCTGACATCTAAACTCAACCGCACTGGTAAGTATAGACTAACTGCATGAGGTCCTCGGGATGATAGTAATCAACGGTTAGAGACCTTGAATGATTATGGTTCAAAATTGTTTGCGAGGGCGCAGAGGTGCATCGATTCTTTGACTTCTCTCAAATCTTAATCCTCTGAATTCTTCATCACCTTTATCTTTCTCTTTCTAAATTTACCTCACTGAATAACACTTCTTGAATAGCATTTTCGAATCGTAATCTTTCTGATTACTGCTCATACTGTTACTACCTCTACTACTTATGGGATTTGAATTGACAATTGCATCTCTCTGTGTGTTAATGTAGTACGGGAACTTGAAGTGATGTACGTATGTACGTACAAAGTTCTACGTTGTTGCTGACTGACAGACAGATAGGTACAACACAGAACTTCGTACATAAGTACATCAGTTCAGGTTGCCATGCCTCATCAGCACAGAGACGCAACTGTCAGTTCAAATCCAAGAGTGATAGCGATAATAGAAGTATTAGCAGTAATGGAGAAGATTATGGAGCGAAGATATGATTCAAAAAGTATAATTCAGTGAGATAAATTTAGAAGGAGAAAGACAGAGATTATGAGGGATACAGAAGGTTAGAATTAGAGAGAACATAAACGATTTTGAACCATGTTGTTCAAGGTCTCTAACCATTGGTGATTTTCGTCTCGCTGACCCCAACCAGATAGCCTATATCTACCAACGTGACTCAGTCCACTTGTCACTGACTTCATGGATTTGTGCCATTGTTTGGTCTGGCCGCCCCTAACTTTCTTCCAACCTACTCCTACACCACAAAACATAGCTCGTCAAGGCAGTCGGTGGTTAGGCATACGTAACACATGTCCCAACCACCTCAACTGATAAAGCTTCACCACTGTGTTACTGACTGACAGAATTGTGTGAAACGTTTGACTTCTTTTTTCATCTACAACTCACTCATATCTCTTATTTTCGTTTGTGTGTGTGTTTTCCTTCTCCTAGTGATATTGTCGATCGAACATGTATTAAACGTGATGATGTCATTGCTACATTATCACATTTAAATGTATTATATTATGTAAAAGGACAACATGTCATCTACTTATCACGTGATCTCATTCAAGCTCATCAAAAGTCCATGCAACGTCGTAATCTACGTGTCGACGCAAAATTGTTAAATTGGAAATCAAGAGATTGGAGTAAACGTGGTCGATGGTAAAGTGTTGACTGAATTGTTTTTTTCTGCCGGTATGCAGATAGATGATTCGGTATGTGGGGATTTTGACAGAGAAACACATGCGCTCTCTCTACATATAGATCGTTGTGTATGTACGAATGCAACATGTGACGGCCTCCTTGTTTTGGCTCTTTTAATGTGTACTGTTTCATTGTGTGTGTGTGTTAGTTAGTTTTTCAATGGTTATTTTGAATATATATGTGAATTTCGATGTGAAAAATTCTCAATACAATGTGTTCTTTGTTTTTGTGTGTTTTGTAAAATGCAATAATACCTATTCAAAATGTGAAAGATGCATGTTTTTTCAAAATGTGCATTGTTATGTATGTCTAGTTATTATTATGATTATCATTTATCAAGCTAAATGTCGATGTTGAAACGGGGGATTGTATGTGATTCAGGCGAAATAAATATCATAATATTCAGTAAATACCCTTTTTCAAGTTGCAGTTATGGCTTATCCGACTATTTCTTTGTGTGTGTGTTGAAGGGGATATGTATAAGCGGTTGTTAAAATTTTCACAGAAAGTTGGATAGGATGCCCAGATGCCCTATTGTGTCTGAGGGTCCGGGGGGGGTGGAGTCTGCTCTCTCTCGCCTATGACGATGCGTATACAGTCACTGTCAGCGAACTCGTACTCATTGCCTTCTCGTAGTTGCACAGGTGTTGTTTAAGAAACTAAGAAGATGAAAAGCAAGTGTCCAACCAGGGTTAAAACTTGTATTAGTGGGTACAGAGGACCTACTTAAAGGAGTTGGAAAACCCTGATTACAAATCAATGGCGTACATGGGCTCCTGGATCCTGAAGGAACAAATAGCGTATGAACCTGTTATTGCTAACTAGCTATCATGGGACTGCATCTCTTGATGTTGCTCGCTACCATTTGGATTATACTTTTTGGTCAAAGGGTGTGGCTCCCCAAGGGTATTGCCTGGTTCGGTTTGGGCATCTGGGCTCGTATTCGAGCCTACTCACAAATTCAAAAATTTGGTTGTGGGAATAAACATTTAATTGTCACTTTGTGCCAATGTTTATGTGTTTAGATTAATTAGTAAATTAATTGTGTAGTAAACATTCGGTATATATAAGTCAATTAGCAACAACATAGAACTTCATACGTATGTACATCAGTTCAAGTTTTCGTGTCACATTTAGCATAGACAGATGCAGTTGTTAATTCAAATCCCATAGTGGTAAATCTAGTAGAAGTGTGGTGCGAGCTACTTCTAAGTAGTATATGACCTGAGTGTCAACGTAATGTCTGGTAGCCGAAGATGGCGGAAGATCAAGAAAGGAAGAGTTAGAAAACAATGGAATTTGTATGAAACCCATGAATAGTGACAATGGATTAATGTTTTGCAACAGGAACAGTCCAGTTCGATATGATGAACTGTTATTTTGCAAATGAACGATTTACGATATGGTTTTCCGATTTTACTGAGTAACCCTGTAATTTTCGTTAAATGCAATCCGGTTGCCCCACCTGTGTTCTCGTTCACTACAGAATATTAACAATAATGGAGAAGATTAGCATTGGAAAATATTATTCAAGAAGTTTAATTCAATGATATAAATTTAAAAAGAATTTAGAAGATTCGAATTTAAGAGAACACAAAGATTGGATGCATCTGCGCTATTGCAAACAACCTTTAGTTATTTCACTGAAAATCTTTAACCACCGGTTATGATTGTCTCTCCGACCCTAACTAGGTAGTCTACACCTACGAACATGGCTGAGTCCACTTGTAAGTGACTTCATACATGTGTGCTATGTTTCGGTCTGAACCCCATTAGCCTTCTTCCAGCCTACCGTATACCACAAAACATAGATCATCTAGGTAGTCAGTGGTTGGGCATACGTAACACATGTCCCACCCATCTCAAATTTAGTAATAATACTTCATCTATTGACCTGTCATTCTTACCTAGCACCCGTTTCCTAATAACAGCATTGCTTGCTCGATTGTCCGGGGATACACGAGCGATGCTTAGAAGACATCTATGATTCGATTCTAGTAACCTATGAATACCTTCTATTCTTAGTGGCAATCATTTACACCCTTATAGTAGGACGGAGCGAACTACTGTGCAGTAGGCGAATGGCTGGCCTACTCCATAAGAGACGCAGGTTTTCAAAAGCCAGTCGAGCGTTCCATACCCGTGCTGCGATTTTGTCAGACACCAGGCCATCAGCACTGATGAGACTCCTAAGATAAGTGAAGCGGCTAATCATATATTTATAATAGTTTTAACGATTGTTATTAGAAGCTTTTCAACTGATCTGGGCTTTCGCAAAGTTAAACGATCTTGATGACTAGAGTCGTTGTCCAACTGAGTTAGGGTTCCTTTTTTACTAAAGGTATGGTCTCGCCCGCGAATACTTTACCTCTAGACGACTAAGCCAGCATCCAATGGTGTCATGTTTTCTCCCTAGAACTCCGAAAATTTCCTCATGAAGCTAGTCATTACTGACTATATTTTATGATCCTCATTTGAAGCTTAGGTGTTTGAGTGCGAGACTGGATGTCCTAGGTTCAATTCCTTCTTACGGGGTCGTGGTTGCGCACAGCTGATGAGTTCACAAACTAGGACGGAACACTTACCCAATACTTTCAGGTTTCTGATGGTGGTCTAACAATGATCGACTCATAATTTAGTATTTTAGTTCTTTTGTAAGTTATCATTGCCTACAACCATACAATAACTGGTGTTACATAATGGTTATTAACTTTAGGCTGTGTGTGTGTGAATTTGTTCAAGAGAAGAATCGATTTCAATGAAATTACTTCATTCTTATAAGATATGAATCATTCTAACCTTTGGCCATTTCGTTCTGATATGGGACTTGTCAGTGATAGTGCGCATCCACGAATTCCACTAATCGCAGGATTCGAACAATAGGTGAGGTTGCGCGAAATACTTACATTGATCAGAGTTAGACACTGACACCGTTGTATGTAGGCTCAGTTGTCCAGAGATAAGCAATTGAGCACAAGAATGAATGTCCTGGGTTTGTATCCTGCAAGTGCCAGGAGTCGTGGGTGCACACTATCACTGATGAGTCCCATACTATTAGACGAAACGGCCCTTAAGTTCTTCAAGTATTCTGATGGTGGTCCAACAACGTAAGTCTTGTATTTACAATCCAAATTCGACTTGTTACTGATTTGTATAGTTATCAACAAGAATTGTAAGTAGAATTATCTACAATGAGGTAAATTCAACAGACCTATATTTACACATTTGAAATCATCAATCAATCATTGTTAGACCACCATTAGAAACCTGGAAGCACTAGACGGCTGTTTAGTCCTGTTATAGGACTCATCAGCAGTGCGCAACCACGACTCCTGCACCTCGCAGGATTCGAACCCGGAACCTTCGGTATTGTGCTCTAACGCCTAACCATCGAACCACTGGGTCGGCATCCAACGGTGTTAATGTCTAACTTCAATCAATCCACTACTGTCTTGCGCAACTTAATCCACTCTCTTTGTTGAGTATTGCTTCACACCCAAATAAGGTTGAACTTAACTGGTCACAACTGATGAGTCACATACCAGGACGAGACAGCCGTCTAGTGCTTTCAAGTTTTTAATGGTGGTCTAACAATCATTGATTGATGATTTCAAAAAATGTGTAAAAACACATATCTCCAAAGCTCTAACTGAAAACTCTGTTTATTAATTTACTTCTTTCAAATCTACAATGTAACACACTCATTACTTCACTACCTCTTGTGCTCACTAGTGACTAGCTTCGTGAGGAAATTCTCGCAGTTCTAGTGAGAAGACATGACCAATGGAGTTCAACTCTGTCGGGTGTAGGCAGTAACTACTAACAAAGACAAATAGGTGAGGTCGCGCAAAATCCCTAGATCAATCAGAGTTAGACATTAACACCACATTGGATACCGACCTAGTGGTTCGATGGTTAGGCGTTCTCGCACAATACCGAAGGTCCCGGGTTCGAATTCTCATACCAGGACGAGACAGCCGTCCAGTGCTTCCAGGTTTCTAATGATAGTGGTCTAACAATGATTGATTGATTTATGATTTCAAAAATGTGCAAAAACACAAATCTCCAATAATCTAACTGAAAACACCTCTGTATCGTCATTCTTCATAAACATCACATATACAAATTGACAATAGACAATAAAAAATAGTAGTGAGTTCAACAGTCATAATAATTTCAATTCATTGAATATTGAACAAGAAAATAAATTTTTTGTTCTCAAATCAAATTAATTCTGTCAGTTACATCATTGAACATGTTTTAATTCGAATTTTATCATAATTCCAAAAACAAACATTTTCGTAAATAATTTTAATCCTTGAAAAAACCCTATCAATGAGCTTTAAAACTTAATATTGACAAGGACAATACACTTCTTTTGAATAATAATAAATCACGATTCTAAATTAGTAATAAAACTACCATATAAATTAAATGACATAAAAGCATTACGATCCAGTTGATGTGAGTGTGATTTGTATTTATTTAGAAAATGTTGTTTGCAAAACAAACAGATTATTATTTTACACATTTGAAATCATCAATCAATAATAATTGTTAGACCACAACCATTAGAAACCTGGAAGCACTGGACAGCCGTCTCGTCCTGGTATGGGACTCATCAGCAGTGCGCATCCACGACTCCTGCTCCCCGCAGGATTCGGACCCAGAACCTTTGGCATTGTAGGCGAACGCCCTACCATCGGACCACTAGGCCGGCACCCAACGGTGTTAATGTCTAACTCTGATTGATCTAGGGACTTTGCGCGACCTCACCCATTTGTCTTTGGTAGTTACTTCCTACATGGTTAAACTCCATTGGTCACGTCTTCTCAACTAGAACTGCTAGAATTTCCTCACGAAGCTAGTCACTAGTGAGCACATGTGACGATATTTTGGTTTCTAATGGTGGTCTAACAATGATTGATTGATGATTTCAAATGTGTAAAAAAAACGCGAACCTCCAAAACTGTGCCCCAAAAAACAGATTATTGACTGCCTTCACCTTAAATGTCTTCTAGTCTTCAAAACATTTTGATCGAGCTATATAAATACATTCGGATCGGAGACTTTTCATTTCAATAGGAACTTCTGGACGATACATTGTTGCATACTACTTATGAGTCACGTTGAGAGTAGTATAAGTCATTGACAATTGAGAATAATACATTTAGACTTTTTGTACATCATTGTATACTGCCTAAAATGTTGAAAGTAGTTATCAAAAACGTACTTTTAGTGACCATGGTTTAAAATGACAGTATTATGCGCAGTAAAAAGTGTTCGCTTCTATTCAAGTCATGAATCGATCATTGTTAGACCACCATTAGAAGTCTGGAAGGCTGTTCCTCACAGTTCTTGAGACTCATCAGTGGTAGTGAGCACCCATGAGCCCTACTCATGGGAATCG